GCCCTGGGTTTGATTCCTCAGCACCACATAAGCAAAAAGAAAAAAGCTGGAAGTGGCACTGTGGCTCAAGTGGTAGAGCGCTAGCCTTGAGCTGAGGGACAGCGCCCAGGCCCAGAGTTTAGGCCCCACGACCAGACCCCCCCCCACAAAAAAGAGAGAGGGAGTTTCCAGGAAAGCCAATGTTCATGGCTCTTGCCTATAATGCTAGCTACACAGGAGGCTGAGATCTGCAGATCGCAGTTCAAAGCCAGCCCAAGCATAAAGTCCTAGAGAAGAGACTCTTATCTCCAATTAACCACCAGAAAACCAGAAGTGGTGCTGTGACTCAAAGTGGTAGAGTGCTAACCTTGAGCACAAAAACTCAGAGACAATGCCCAGACCCTGAGTTCAAACCCTATGACTTAAAAAAAAGTCTCATAGCCGTTCCCACCTGGGCTGCCTTGGAACTTCTATTCTTAGAGCTCAGCCTCTGGAGTAGATAGGATTATAGACACATGCTGCAGGCCCTGGCTTTATAAGACCTTTAAGGCATAGGTTTTCACTAAGTAGTTCAGACTTTCCTTCTCTAAAGGAGTTTTTTGTTTTGTGTGTGACTTTTTTTTTTTGTACAAATGAAGCATATGATTGTTGACAAGATATAAATAGCACAAAAATGATACAAGTACATGGAGAAGTCAGAAAAACCTTCCTATAGAAAAAAGAACTTTAGAATATGTCTAGAAGAGAGAGCTGGGCTTAGGGAAGTTGAGCAGGGGAACAGATCACCCCAGACTGACAGACTAGACTACAAAGCTATACTGTGCTTGGCCTGAGGAGCTATGCAAGGGCAAAGGTCAAACCTTCAGCATCTCGAAGCCAGACTGGAAGCACTTGTCCTCCACCTCAGCAGCCAGGTGGGCTAGGTCCCGGCGCTTGTCCCCCAGATGGGCAGCATTTTCACGCAGTTGCTGTAGAATGTCCTGTTCCTCCTCCTCCAGTCGTGAAAGCAGAATCTGCTGCTCTTCATCCAGCCGCCTATGAAGCTCTTCAAACTCCTTTAAGATCTGCTGTCGGCGATTCTCCACTAGTCTCTGAGAGAAAAGAGGGAGACTGTGTCAGCAGGGTATGGGGCCGGAGGTAGCCGCTCCCCAACCCATC